CTCTTGTAATAAGAGCTCAGTACCCAGTAGTAGCTCCCTAAATATTTGGCCACCTTGCCCTCTGGCCAGGTTCTGTTTTCTAAATATTAGCAAGTTTTCAAAACAGAATTGAAATATAGTGTTTCGTTTTACTATAGCTCTCTCACACATACCTCAGCAGCCTTTAAAACCTCAAGCCACTTCTTGGGAGGGATTTTAAAGTCTCGCTTCACAGGACCCCTGCCTGAAGCAGCATGTCGCTGATGCTTGGAAGTGTACCACAGCGGAGGAAAGTGACTGGTTCCCATCCCTTTCAGTTCATGACTGGTGATTCCGGACCGCTGGGTAGGGAGCGGGTGCGATCTGAGCGTGGAAACGAAAAGACCCTCAATTCAATTGCTTATGTAATCCGATATCCCAAGGTACTATACACATGTAACCCCAGCACTCGGGAGGCTGAGGAAAGAGTAGTGAGTTCCAGACCAGACTGGACTACACAGCAAGACTGTTTCAAAACAAAACAATACAACAACACACGAGATACCCAGTCCCATTTTCCCCACCTGTCACTCACCCATCATTCCTACATTTGACTAGTGAGGATGAAGTGTTCTGTGTATTTGCATGCAGTACTTGAGGTAAATGGCTGACCCCATGGCAGAAGGGGCTTCCCCTGAGGACAGAGTCAGCCTGAGGACAGGGCCCCATCTATGACTGTTTGGTGCCTCTGTCTTGTATAGGCCAAAGCAGGCAACCACAGCTGCTGTGAGTTTATGAGTCCTGTGGCTGTGGCATGTCCAGAAGATACCCTGCTTCCCGTCATCTGGTCCTTTCTAAGCCCTCTTGTTCCCTGGGCCTCTATCAGTGAGTCTTACTTGGATCCTTTATTACTATGAGGAGTGACAAAAATGGTGGTCTTTCTAGTTACCTTACTCCATATGTGTTTGTTAGCTGGCTTCCTACTTACATGACAGAGCAGGCGCTTTCCAGTTTGCACTAAGCTCGCTGTGGTCTTGTTGCTCATCTTTTTCTTCAGGAGCTAGAAACCTTGATAGTCCTGTTTGTTTGTTTTGATGGTCTGATGACTCCAGACTGGACCAGCAGAACCCATCTAAGCTGGCTCCAAGCAGTCACTCTCTACACCAGCTCTTACCCCTTGATGCCCTGATGAATGCTGTCGATTTCTCTATTAGAAAATTCCAAGACTCCCCCCTGTTCTGCTCCCCCTACCTCCATCCCCATTGTGAAACAGGATTTTCCTGCCTGGGGATTTCGCCACTAACTAATGCAGCCCTGACCATCTTCAAACACAGGGCTGTTTAACTTCAACACGAAACATGGGACAGCCGAGCAGTATGCGGGAGTCTGGGAGCAGGTGGCGCCAGCAGTAGGTGGACTCAGCCATCCTAATGGTATTTGCTTTTCCCCTGTGTAAACCAAACCACGGCTGCAAAAGCTGTGCCCTTTGCTTCCCTGTTGCTGTTTATATCACTCCAAAGACAAGGTAAATTTGGATTCCCCTTAGCTATCAAGGGCTCCCCTGTAAGTTAGGCAGCTGCTTCCAAAAGTCAAGCAGGAAGAAGGCAGGTAGATTGCTGCTTTGGAATTCCATCTTCCATCAAGGGCTGGTATTTTTCTAATTCCATGTTTCATGCTGGAGGAAAGCTGTTTCCCTTTTGCTGAGAGAGTTCCTTGTTCCAGGCAAGATATGGATAGGATGTTGATATAGGCACGGGAAATGGATTGAACTAGATCTAATGTGTATAAGGAAGAATAATTGCACATGCGGGTGTGTGCAGGGGAGAGGTAAGTACCTCGGTCCCCACCCTGTTCACCTTCAGGTCATAGAACCTTAAACATTAGAGCCAGTTGAGAGAAGGAATGTCACCAGGAAAGGAAATCACCGAGTGGAAAGAGAGGCAGGACTTACACCAGGAAGAGTGTCCCACAGTTCAGACTGGTACAGACTCAAAAGCATAGCTCTCAAGTATGGGGTGGGCCTGAGGGAAAGCCAAGAGGTGGACCCTAAGGGAGGTGGTTCCGGAGAAAGATAGGAAGCTGACTCTCAAGACGGAAAAGCTACTCAAATAGCCTGTAATTGCAGGGTTAGGAGACAGTTTGGATCCTGCCTTTCCCTAGGAGAGATGGGGGAGCCAGAAGACTTCAGGAAACACATATGCAGTTGAAGACCTTGGGTTCTACCTCAGCCTACCCACCTCCATCCATCTGCCCACCTGGGAAAATTGGTAGTTTTAGAGGAGGAATGTTAAACCCCAGCCATTCTTGCATTTCTAAGCAGTTTACTCTGTGGCCTGAGTCCTGCAGAAGGTAGGGAAAGACTTTCAAGCTTCACTAGGTAATAGGTCCCCAGGACCCAAGCAGCCACTAGGAAGCTGGGAGGGACCAACTGCGCCCCTTCTTTCTCCCTCTCTTCTGGCTGCTAAACTAGAACCCCAAAAGCTGACCTACTCATTGTTACTGTTTTACGATGCTTCAGTTAGAGGACTGTCTGCAGTCTGCCCATTTGGGTTTCTCAAATACTGCTGAGCTCGCCTTCTCCTTTCCTTAAACTTTGTCTTCACTAGTTACCTTCCTATCTGGATTTGTCTTTAAACAAGACTCTAAAGTAAGCAAAGGTATTGCAGGTCAGCATTTCAAAGCCAATCCTGAAATGAGGAAGGAAAGGAGAGGTTGGAAGAGGGAAGAGGTGCGCATGGTACTTTCTAATCTAACCTATTTATCCTTCTCGCCTGTGAGTTATGAGCTAAAGTGAGGGGAGCCAGTGCTAGAAGCATAATCCTAAAAGGCGTGCGTGCGTGCGTGCGTGCGTATCTGCAGGGCTGTTGTACTTGGGTCTAGGTATGTTTCACACTTGATGTCATGATTGGCAGACCTGTGCCATTGGTCTTTATTCCAGAAACAGCTACTTCTTAGTGTTGCCAAGGCCACAAACTTGGGGTTTTCAGACAAGCAGCCCGAGCTTCTAGAATTGGCATCAGTGGGTTGCACTAAAGGGCACCAAGTGTTACCAGGGCCCTATTGCTGCCAAGCTCCCAGGAGTGAATGTAGTCCCTGTTCCTCAGGGCAGTATGTCCTCCCCTCACTTCTGCCTCTACAGTCATATTGTCTCCCTCCCTCTTCTCTCTGGGACAAAATCTCCTTTTGCCTTTGGCTTAGGAGCACAATATAATTGAACTTTGGAACCTCCCGTATTGAGGTCCTCAACCTGATCACATCCACATTTGTTTGATGGCTGGCTTTGGCCATGGTAACATTCCCAGATGCTAAGGATTTGAGTGGGTGTATCTCTTAGGAAACAACTCTTCCACTTACTGCACAGGTATTGGATTTTGTGTTATCACCATAGTAAATCATACCCAACCAACCACCCTGTAGTTCATAGCGGCTACAGATGTTTTCGCTATTGACTGGGGCTTAGAAAGGATCATCCTGGGAGTCTATGCTTGAAAGGAAGGAGGGAGGCAGGGAGACACAAGCAAATCCTCTCCTCCAAATGAACTTTACAGACAAAGGTACTAGGCAGAAGGTCCCAGTGTCCATTTGTCATCTGAAAAGGTGTACACATAAGAAACGGAAAAGCACTTAGAGGTTCTCCCATATCAACATTTGGGATTCACTGAGGAATCCAACATGCCCAGGTGGCCAGCTTTCCATGAAAAGAAGATTTTGTTCAAAGGAAAGTGATGGAGAAAATCCAAGCTAGGAAGGAGCAGGACACAGTGAGCAGGCAGGAAAGGAGTCCACCACCTTCACCAGGAAGCCCCAGGGGGCATGGTATTGACCTGCAAACAAATGGAACTCATGAGTGATGACTGGCATTGTGCTGGCTGCGGAGATAGCAAGTCAGGAGCACACTGGTTCCAGCTAAGCTAACACTGGCATCCTGCTCGCACTGCACCACGCCAAAGGGCTGACTCAGCAAGCACATGGTCGGCCATCTTTAATACTCACTGCACCACGCCAAAGGGCTGACTCAGCAAGCACATGGTCGGCCATCTTTAATACTCACTGCACCACGCCAAAGGGCTGACTCAGCAAGCACATGGTCGGCCATCTTTAATACTCACTGTCTATGCTAGCAATCTTTCCATTACTCTGACAAAAATCCCTGAGCCAGTCAACAGATAAGAAGCGAAGATTGTGGGAGGCCTCACCCTCTCTGAGGAGTGGATGGGGGTTGCGGTGGGGAGATGGTGGGGCAGTGGGAAGATGGCAGGCAGTGGGAACTGGGTCTGGTATGTAAAATAAGATTGCTTTAAAAAAATAAAATAAAAAGAAGGGATGTTTACTTTTGTTCCCAGAAGGGATGGTTCATTTTGGCTCTAGTTGTGAAAGTGTCTGTCGGTTGGCCCTGTTTTTGAGGCTGTGTCAGTGTAGTACATCGTGGTAGGATCATGTGACAGATGATACTTGGTCACCTCAAGGCAGCTGAGAAATAAAAAAGAAAAAAAGGAAGTACTGGAACCAAATATTCTCTTCAAAGATATACTGTCCTAACAGTCTAAATTCTGTCTGAGGAACTCCACCTTCTAAAAGGCCCGGGCTGGCGACCAAACCTTCAACACATGAACCTTTGGTGGACATTCAGCATCTAAACTATTGCCACTTAATACCTGAGATGGCAAGGACTCCTCTAGGAATGTTTGCACGTCCTGCTGTGTTGTGTCCAGGAAGATTCCTGGGTCCCTGAGCAAGGCCACGGGTCACTAAATATCATGGGTCCCTTTGCTCCCTGACTTTATTCCACCATGTTTTTCTCATATGTGGATGGACTAAATTATAAACCCTGGATGACTGAAAGGGGGGTTGTGTGAATCAAGTGTAAATAATGTTTGAGAATTGGGAATCCATTGACTTTAGAGACATGGTGGGGGGATGTGGGCTTCTGTCTTCATAATTCACGTGCTATCCTTTGGCCAGAACTTACAAATCTTAATGTTGAGTGTCTTATGATTCTCACTAGTATGACTAATGACATTCTCTTTTTCTTATTCTTTCAGATGGTAACAAAAATTAATCCAGATGGGGTGCAGGTGTTGTAAGATGATACACAGGTAAAGTGATCACAGTTGGCATCGCAAGGGAATTTGTAGTATTTGTGTAGTCATGTTAAGACCATGCCTGTAAAGTAAGCATGAAAGTAGAAGAGGGATTCTAGGGAGAGAATGGGAAAAGTGGGCATGGGGAGGACATACTAGAGGATGGGGGATGGAAATAATCAAAGTCAGTTATATGCAGGTATAAAGATATTAAAACCCATTGTTTTGTCCAGTGGCAGATGCTAAAACAATAGCAAGAGTGACAGAAATAAACAATACATGTGACAGCAGCTCAGAAAGTGACACGATGAAATTGTGACACCATCAATGCATTTAGCCTGCTCAAGTTTGACCCACAAGACATGAAGGCTTAGCTCCACTTGGCATCATTTAGAAAACTAGATTTCTTTTGTAACTTTCTCATTTCTCAAAACTATTAGACATAACGTCACTCCTGAGGTCAAATTCTATTTCAGTTGGTTTTACATTTCTTACAAAGCCATCAATGCAAAAATAAATAAATAAAATGTAAAAACTCAGGTTATAGAGGACTGAAATGACATCACTGACAATAAAGAGTCCAGTTATCTTTCTTGTGACATTCATAAAACTTTGAGTGATATGAATCATAAGGAAAACAGATTAACTGATGACATGACTTCCGGGGATTGTGAGGCTAAGGCAGTGAGAATCTCTAACTTTATTTGATTTCAAACACACACTTATAAACTTTACTCCATCAAAGCCATGTGATATTGGTCTTTATTCAAAAGTATTTATTATTGACTATCAGTTCTCTACATCCACGGACTCCATAGCCCTAGAGCCCACCAACCATAGATTCAAATATTCAGAAAAGAAATCAAGTCTGTGTTGAATGTTTGTTCTTTCTTCTTGCTGCTCCCTAAACAGAACAGGTTGAAGATAGTCTATATGGCATTTATTTTGTCTTAGGTAGCATAGGGAATCTAGAGATGACTTGACATGTAATGAGGGTATGCATATGCTGATATACCATAATTCCATATGGAAAATGTGAACATCTACAGATATCATTGTTATGTATGAGGGTCCTGGAACTAACCCCCCAGTGATTGCTTCTTTTACCCTACCACAAACTTCATATTTATCATTTTCATGTCTACATCATATTCCATTGGAGAAATATACAGTGGTACTTGGTACTTTGCCCCTTATTTCCCTGTTAGTGAACATATTTTAATTTTAATTTTTAAATTCCATGAACTGCTTTGTAATTCACCTATCCCTTCCTTTTGGGTCCCTTCAGTTCTTTTCATGAGCCAAATATTTGTATGCTAAGTATATTTATTCTTTTAGACACAATCCCAGGTTTCTTCCCCAGCACCTCTGTCCCAATATCAGTGTAACTGATGCCTACTTCTCTCACCCCCCAGCTATCTCTTTGATCCAGTCCAAGTGCCCTCTCCTGGCTTTGTCAACGAGGTAAACAACTGCAAGTTGGATGAGGATGACACTCTCAGACTAAAAGGCACCCAAAACAGCGAGGCTGAAGTGCCCAGGAATGCCCTGCATGGTGGGAGCCTGACCAAGACACAGAACAGAGACAGTACAGCTGGTCTACCTCACCAAGGACAGCTCCCTCGGGAGGACTTGGAGAAGCATGGTATTGTCAATGGTATCAGCCCCAAGGCCTCTCTGCATTTGGTCAGGAGTCCCAACCCCCACCAGGTTGACAGGAGTTCCTGGGCCAGCAGCCCCTGGGCAGGCACCACAGACAGCACACACCAAGCTCAACCCTTCCTTGAAGAGGACTGCAGGAAGCAAAGCTGCGTGGTACCCGCTGCAGGGGAGACCCAAATAGTAGCACATGGAGACGGCCGAGGCCCCGCTGAGGTCTTGGAAGTGGCGGACGACGTCCTACACATACCAGTCCCGGATTACCCCCATCTCTGGAGCCCCACAGTAGACAGTGCAGACCCTGCGGAAAAGGATTCTCTTTTTAAGAACCACCCTGGGGTGGAGCCCCTGCCGGGAATTCACCCGGGCACGAATGAGCAGGGGCTGAGCCTGCCCTTCTCCCTCAAGAGAAGCTGGGACTCGCTGAATGAGGCAGTGACAACGGAAGTTCTGAATGTCTACTTTAAAGAGGAGGGTCCCCCTCACCCTACGCCAGTGACCGATTCTAAAAATGAGCAGGAAGTCCCCCACACCTACAATGGAGACAGGGATGGGGTGGTGACAGATGAGGACGCAGAGGTGGCCGAAGCCCTGGCAGCATTAGAAGCTGCTACTGCAGGAGAAGATGCAGATGAGGCCGATTAGAGGAGGGGCTGGGTGAAGGCTGGGCGGGGCGAGCGAGGCGGGTGGGCTGCAGTCACGCTGAGCAGAGAGAGAAGTGAATGGCCGCGGCGCTAACCACTCTGCAGGCATGCCCAGGCAGCCTTGCCAGCTGTGTCACGTGTTTACATCTGTTCTCTTCCCATTGCCAGTACCTGTGCCAAGCTGCTTGTTGTAAACGGCATTCCTCTGTGTAGCTGGACTCTGATTCAGAATGCTAGGATTAAAGTTTAAGAGTGGACCTTCACGCCCATGTCCACAACAAATGCAGAAGCTAAGCAGCTTGCTTGCTGGCCCTGGACGCTCCCCCAGAACATCTGTCCAGATGTGCATGAGAATGCCCCCCCACACCTGACCCCAGGGGCACACAAACATGGGCCGTGCTGTTTGAATATATTTCTTTACCTTGTTTTTGAAAGCCAAATACTTCACCCAAGCTAGAAAGGGTGACTATCCACTTAAAGTGCCTACTGTGCGCCAGAGCTTAACTTCAGGGACAGTCACCCAGGGAACTACTAACTAACCACTTGTGGGACATCAGGTTCAGCTCTGTGGCCACCAGGGTGGAGAAGATGTGACCAGTGAACAAGGGGTTAGTCCTCAGCTGTGCTATTAAAACACCCAGACCTTAACTGTTTTTTTTTACACTATTACTTTTTAATCCCATTTGGGATATGGGGGGCTGGCCAAAATCCTTCTTAAAATGTGTGTCATGTTTTCGTTTCAAGTTCATGAGTGTTTGGGAACAGCAAAGCCATTTATGGAGGGGTTTCTGTCATTAAATGTCTGGTTCTCATTAAAGTGTCATAGCAGATGTGTCTCCCTGCTTTGTCTCAAAACTGGATATGATGGTCCTAGACCATCAGTGACCATTGGCGTTCCCAGTTACACAGGTAGACAGACATTCATTTACTGCAATGGAAAAGGAAGGGCCAGACATGGCCCTCCTCTGTATTAAGGGAGTATTGTCCCACTTTCAACTTACACCAGGTTGGTTAGCGTCTGATCACTTGACCACATCTAACTGGAGAGAAAAGAGAATAGAAAACATAATTAAGCTGTGTACTTGGGTGTCCCACATCAATTTGGAATATAATTCCCCAGGACAGGAGAGAATGGACATTGATTCTGAGTCGAGCAGCCTACAGTCTCTGCCACATCAGAACTCCAAACCCTCAGGCTTATGGTACAATTGACTGGTTTGCCAAGAGGTCCAAGGATGACACTTACATTGAGTGTGCCATAAAACATCCTTCAGCCTTTGGTCCAGGAGAAGGAAGTCTTGACAGCTGCCACCACCCCAGCTTCAGTCACATTCCCACAACGGACACAAAAAGGAAATTCAGACAGAGTTGGGTAAAGAAGGGATTGATACAAACAAGACTGTTGGTCCCAGAAGCACTGCCATGTGTGGCACGTTAGATTACTCTTGGAATGGCCACTAAGTTCCCAACACTGACAGCTCTCTGTGTTTGCCTTAGGTTACTCTCAGGATGGTTACTAAGTTCCCAACACTGACACCTTTCTCAGGCCATAAAGCTTTATTTTTGCGAAAAGCTGCTTTGAGGATGTTAACAGATAGCCAAGAATTCCAACCTTTTTAATGAAGCAGTCTTGGCCCTGTTCACTTTACCCCCATTCAGGCTTCCCCTGAGGACCTCAGAGAGGACTCGACCTCTGAGATGGCAAAAAAAGTCCTATTCTGGCTTCTTCTAAGAGGTAGTCCGACAGTCACCAGCATCTCGTGTATGTAGTATGTTCTTGGGGGCATGCCATCGGAAGAGTGATGCTGAAGACAGGGAGCCCTTTGGAACATTTGAACATTTTGAAAGCACAGGCACACCCCCTGTGAAGTACTAACAGAGGTCAGACTCAGACACCACGGGTCTATAATCCTTAGCTAGTTGTAGCACATGAAATATTAAATCCCAATTTATTTAAGGTTTTATGCATGAGTGTGTGTGTGTGTGTGTGTGTGTGTGTGTGTGTGTGTGTGTTGCATGCATATGGAGATCAGAGAATAACCTGTAGAACTCAGTTCTCTCCTTCAAGTATATGGAGCCCAGGAATGGAACACAGATTGCCAGGAGTGGCCGCAAGCATCTTTACTGGCAAAGCCATCTCCTATCCCAGGATTACTTTATTACTTATTATTACATTCTGCTTTCTACAGCTGAGACTTAACACTTAACATTTCACTGGTAGAAACTGAACTGTCCTATTTACCAAACTGACATGTCTTAGTTGCCAAGGCAAAATAGTTTCAGATTGGTCTAATTGTCAAGACAGGTCCTCAAAAGAGTGAAGAGAGCCAGGTGTTGGTGGCGCACGCCTTTAATCCCAGCACTCGGGAGGCAGAGACAGGCAGATCTCTGTGAATTCGAGGCCAGGCTGGTCCAACAGCCTCCAAAACAATACAGAGAAACCCTGTCTCGTAAAACCAAAAAGAAAAAATAAAAAGAGTGAAGAGAATCTAGGTGTCTTGCATGGCACACACCTATTTGTCAATGCTCAGGGGATGATGCCACCTGTCACCTCCCGTCTCCTTTCAGGCCTCTCTCATCAGAACATCCTTCTGGCTGAGAAAGCTGTCAGCAGTTCTTATGTGTAGCATTGCATGCACAAGAAAACACCAAACGCAGGAAGATGAGCAGAGATCTCATGACTTCCTGGTTTAGTCATCACTGACACCCCGCAACAGATAGGACAGTCCCTACTATAGCTTGGACTTGAGATTTCTTCTTAGCAAAGGCACTCTCATTTGCACAAGTCTTTTTTTTGTAAATAATAATTTGTATTTATTTTGGCACTTCATAGGTGTTTGATATACATACATAGACGTGTTTCTTTTGTTTTCTTTTCTTTTTTTGAGACAGGATCTCCCTACATAGCCCTGGCTGTCCTGGAACTCACTCTGTAGACCAGACTGGCCTCAAACTCACAGAGATCCGCCTGCCTCTGCCTTCCAGAGTTCTGGGATTATAGGCGTGCACCACCACACCAGCATGTGTGCAATATGAACTGAATACACCCAGTCAAGCCTCCGTCCCACTCACTCAAACCCCACCGTAATCCTCCTCCTGCCTTCACACCCTTGTCTTTCTTCTTATTTTTTTAAAATACGATAACCACTGAGTTCATTTAGTTCCGCCTGCACACACACAGGTGTGGAGACACCCGCTGGAGAATGAGCAACTCTTCAGTGGCCACACCCCAAAAGGAATCTGACTCTATGAACAGCCATCTTTGCCAATAGCTCCTTGGCTAGGGATGCGCTTCCATGAGCCCTCTCCTGTCCACGCTGGAATATTGACCAGCTTGATCTTGCACACATCTTTATGATGGAAAAAATAATTCTCCCTCTCTGGTTTTATTTTCTTTTTTCTCTAGACTAAACTCATCCACTTAAAGATATTCTATTATAGAGATGGTGACACAGACACAAAAGCTGACATTTGTTTATGGTAAGTGCTTTCCCTGATGATGGAAAAGTAAGCCTTTAATTTGATTTTGGCTTTTTGAGAAGGAGTCTCAAGTAGCCCAGGCTGGCCTTAAATTGACTGGGTAGCCAAGGCTATCTTTGTCAGGATGCTGACTGAGTTTGACTCACCTGCATATGAAAGCCAGCCTCATGAAGTAAATTTATCTGCTGCCCTTCCCACTAAAGCACCCACCAAACAGGTGCCATTGGACACGCTCTTAAGATTGGGTGTGGCACAAATGGTAACTAAATTCAGTCTTGGCTGAGTGAAAGAATAAACACTCTGTACACAGCTTGAAGAGACATCCTTAAGATTGCGGAATGATTGTGGGCTCATGTCCCGGTGGTGTACAAGTGTGTTTGTAGCCTGGTGAAACTCATGCCCACATGAGTCAGATTTCCTGCAGGTAGTGCACACACTGTTTCACTGTTTGCTCAGTTTGAACCAGGCTTTCTGGTGAGTTGGGGAAGGGCGGACAGAGAAGAACATTGAGTCCTTGTTCACCTGGTGGCAGGAATCCCAAACTGATTTAAAAATCTTAAGAAAGTCAGTGGTTAGGCCAAGCTGTTGTGGGATTGGTGGCCTCAGTTTTCAGTCATTTAATCTTTTTTTTTTTTTTTTTTTTGGTTTTTTTGAGACAGGGTCTCTCTGTATTGTTTTGGAGGCTGCCCTGGAACTCGCTCTGTAGACCAGGCTGGCCTTGAACTCACAGAGATCTACCTGCCTCTGCCTCCCAAGCGCTAGGATGAAAAGCGTGTGCCACCAACGCCTGGCTTTGAATTTAATTTTTAAAATCCCAAAGAAGGAAAAGCAAACCACATGTCCTTGTGAAAAGGCTCCCATTGTCTTTATCTTGATTTCAGGTGGTAAAGAAAGTACCTCGGGCTGGCTTTTTACACAGAGCAATGGCCAAGAGTCATGGTGTTGAGGTGTCCAGAATTCTGACCCCCAGGACACTTGCTCAGCATGTCATACACGCATGGCATTTAGTCACACTGCTCCTGGAGTCCCCTGTGTCTCTTGCTATGAACCAATGTCTTAAATTTCTTCCTTTTTCCGAGCCTTGGTTTTCTAAAGTGGAGACATTCCTAGTTTGTAGCATGGAAACAGATACTATCCAGCTTTAGTATTCCCTGGAGGCATGCACTATGCTTGCCTTTTAAAAGAAAGAAGAGGAAGGAAACAGATTCCTACACCTCAGAACTTAGAGACTTGCTAGACCTTGAGTGGCGCCCTGGCATTCATACTGTATACAGGTCCGTGCAGGTCCCTAGCCTTGACTAGCAACACTGAGTTGGTAACATCAAGGGCAGTCACCTTGTTGACCTCACACTCATCATCAAGAACAAATACTGTACATTCACCCCTACATGGGCATACTATACATAAATGTACTGTCTTAGTCTGATATGGATTCGACTTCACAGAGTAACAGTAAAAAGAAGGATTAATTAAAATATCAGAGTTGAATATTTCTTTCCCATACCACCAGGACCTGGGAAACCTATTTAAGAAACCACTGGTTTAGAAGACCAAATGAGCCCACATTTATAGAAGCACTCTGTATATAAATAAAATGGGACTAATACTGACATAATATACTCTGTGTGTGTGTGTGTGTGTGTGTGTGTGTGTGTGTGTCCACGAGCGCACCTCAGCTTGAGCACACGCACACTTGAAAACACACACCCAATGCCAGCTGCCTGCCACTATTCCTTCACAGGGACTGCCTAGAGTCACTTTCAGGCTTTCGGGAATAGTTAATATAAAACTAGACTGAAATGTGACCTAAAGGCCAGAAAATAGGCAAAGAATTTTACTCATTTCCCTTATCAAAACTGCGCATTCCAAACTAAGATGGGGGAGGGGTGGACTCGTCTAATTAGAGTGCTTCGTTAAAACCTTGCTATTTAGTGCTTCCCCCTCTTCTGAGAAAGAATACCCAAGTCCCAGCACCCACACTGGGCACCCCTAACAGCCACTGTAACTGCAGCTCCAGGGGATCTGACACCATCTCCTGGCTTTCAGCTTCCATAGGCACATGCACACATGTGTGGTAGACACAGATACACACATAAACATAGGAGTGAGAAGAATAAGGAGAATCTTAACACTTTGGAAGCATGTGGTCCTCAGACATAAATGTAAGGATGGTTGAGTCAGCTGTGGTCTCTGAGTCCAGTTGAGATAATCTCCCTGTCCAAAATGTCAATGACTGGAGAGCAACAAAAGGTTTATATTACCAATTTACAAATCCATGAGACTTGAACTCAAAAATTGTCATGACATCACCATAAGCCAGCGTGACAATCTAGCAAAAATGGGTATAT